GGAAAAGCTTGTTTCTCTCTGCCCACCTGAGGAATGACACCTAAATCTTTTCAACCTGAGGAGAAGAATCTGTCAGAGAGACATACACCATCCCAATCTGTGACCCAGCCCAGGCTCTGACAATCCCCCAAGTCTTTGTCAAATACTTATTATGTGCCAGGCACAGTGCTGGTCACTTTCATATCCATTTTTTGTTTAACCCACAAAACGTTTTACACATATTAAAATCCCATTTTACACCTGAGAATATTGAGACTCACAATGATCAAGAATCTTTCCTTTGTCAGACAGTTCTACTCCCTATAATAATAATAACCAAAGCAGACAGGAAAGAGGGTTCAGAACATGGGGTAAATGTGGAAGACAAAATTGGTATCCATGAGATGAGTTAATGCAGTAACAAGTGTGTCTGAGACATAGTGCTAGGTATCTTTAGGTACCATCTTTAATCATCACATCAAGGCTAGGAAGTAGGTGGTAAAATGGGCTCTATTTTAGAGCTGGGAAAATGGAGTTCTGAGAGAGGTTAGGAAAATTGTCAGTAACTGAGCATTGCATGGTAACTCCTACAGACACGCTTGTACAATAAAACAGATATTGGTGCAAAGGACATTGAGATAAGTCAGGATAGCTTCAGGCTGCAAGTAATGACAATGAAGACTCCAAGTGGGAAGAAAGGCCTTCCACTTCAGCAAGTAAATAGGTTGTAACACACTCAGTCCAGGTATTTGGTGGCATGGGCAGAAAGTTATATCTGAGTCACAGCTCAGTGGGAAGTCAAAAAGGGGAGGCTGACTGGTTGCCACGAGTCAGGGAGCTTCTCTAGGAGAAACGACATGCCACGTGCCCTGCGGCACAAGGGCACCTGGTTATGGCTTCTACTGCCAACCACACTGCAGTGTTTTCATGGGGAAGTCGGGAGGAGTGTTTGTGGATGAATAAGTCACCTTTATACCTGACCTTTTTCTCCACCACTACCATCTAGCAAGCAAAGGGATTCCATTTTTAAGTCAAACTGTGCATTGGGTATCTCTGTGAAACACAAGCTGTGTTGAATTTTTAAAGGGATCAAAGCCTTACAATAAAGCAATGAACTTTAATGAGTCAGTTAGTAGAGTGGCAGGTATCAGAGAAAGGAACAGTGGGATTTAGATAACAATCTCTCCCCAAGGTGCTGGAAAATACTGAACAGAGAGATAAAATGACAAGATTCCCAGTATTTGCTTCAAAATATTGTTAGGGGTGGGGGAGGGTGATAAGAATAGCTGGGAGTATAGATAAAATTAGGTAGGCCATAGGTTGATAATTGTTGGATCTCTGTGATTAGTATGTTGGAGTTCAGTATACTCTTCTAGTTTATGTATGTTTGAAATTTTCTATTATAACTTTTTTTAAAAAAGAGAAGAGTATAGATATGGTCTAGTATTCTATTCCATAGAAAAACTGCATCCCACTGGGAATATAAATGTGACCAGGGGGCTGGCCTGGATTTTCTGCACAAAGTTGTGGGTTCCACCTACATCCAAACAACCTCTAGGTCCTATACCTCCAACCTCCAAAATTTATCTCCAATCTGTCCACTTCTCTCCATCTCCACTGCCACTACCCTAGTCCTGACCACCACCAACATTGCTTGTTTAGACAACTGCTGTGGCCTCCACATTTGCCTCCCTATTTCCAGTAGGATGTCCGTTTCCAATCTCTTCTGCCTACAGGAGATGGAGTGATCTTTTCAAAATGCTAATCTGATACTCTCATGAGAAACAAGCAAGATGCACAACAGTATAGATAACTTTGTATAAGAAAGGGGAAACCACATACATGCTTACACACACATATGTATATACTAGTTGCTTATATTTGCAAAGGAAAATTCTGGAAGATAAACCAAAAACTTATCAAAATACAAGAGAAGGAAGTGCACAATTGAGGACATAGGTTGGCAGCAAAACTTGTCTGAATGTGTCCTCTTATAAATCTTGACTTTGGAATCACGTAAATGTTTACACATTCAAAAAATAACATTAAGTAAAAGTAAAATAAGAGATTTCTAAAAATTAAAACCAAATTAAAATGAAAAAAATAAAAACAACTTTTTATTAACCACACGAAGAAAATAATTATTTCAAGTAACTTTCATAAAAGTATTTTGACTTTACATTCTTATGAAATATATTTTAAGAATCAAGAAAAGTTGCAAATAAATCTTAAACTTCATTCAGTAGTCTTATTGTTAGTATTAGGTTGAACCATATGAAATTGCCAATATTTTACCATTTTTGACTATAAAATGACAATTTCTTACATTGCAAGTATACTAATAGGTTACTATAAATATAGTAATATTATTTTACACTATAAATCTAACATATTTTACATGTAATGTAAGATAATTCATATAAATATATTCTAAATATAGTATAAATTATAGCAATATTGGTATTACTTTTAGAAATATTTGGTACATATTGTAGGATAAAACAAATTATTAATCATATTAATGTTGTTAGAACAAAGATTTTTAGCAAAATAAGACAACTATTATTTTAGAAGTTAATAAATACCGTTATTTTTAATTGAGATATAATTGACATATAACATTATGTAAGTTTGAGGTGTACAACGTGTTGGTTTGGTACATTTATATATTGCAATATGATTACTACAGTGACATAGTAATCATTGTCTCTTCTTTGTGTTGAGAACAGTAAAAATCTAGTCTAATTAGCAACTTTGAAGTTTACGCTATAGCACTGTTGACTACAATCACTAAGCTGTGAATTAGATCTCCAGAACTTACTTGTCTAGTAGTTGCAAACTTGTACCTTTAAATGACATCTCCCAATTTCCACACCCCCCAACCCCTGGCAACCATCATTCTACTCTGTTTTTACACATTCAACTTTTTTAGGTTGCACATGTAAGTGATAGCATACAGTACCTGTCTTTCTCTTTCTATCTCACTTAGCATAATGCTCTAAAAATAAATTGAAAATATCAGTGTGAACTCATGATTCTTTTTCAAAAATACTTATTCCTAATTGTCCACTAAAAAGGCCTAGAAGCAATGGTGACCCAGGAATAATGAGTAAGCCCAGGACCCAGATTGTGGGCTCTAAATACCTTCCTACTAAAAGGAAGCAGAAATGCATGTAGAAACGGCAGGAAATAGAATAACTGAGTTGGGGATATGTTATTGTATAAGGAAGCAAGGAAACTATTAAAGAGTAATGAGGTCCAGTTAAAAAAACAAAGATCTGACATGAAGGACTTCTCATTGGCTAAAACAAGACGTTTTATGCCTCAAGAGAATTATGACTAAAATTGATTAAAACACATTGAATATATAAAAACCATACATTCAAAATGATACTCAAAAAAAGAGAAAGTAAAAAGAAAAGGAAGGGGAAAAAAAGGAAAGAAGGAGAAAAACACATCATTGGACACAATTAGCAGTAACTAGGTCACCAACACCTTACTCTGCAAACTTGCAATTAAAGGAAAAGAAACAAATATATATCCTGCCTTTCCTGGAGGAAGTGTATTCCACAGTAGCATAATAGTCCTAGTTGATGCGGGAAATTTTTTATCTTTTAGGGAGGGATTCTGACTAACAAATGTGTTAGGAAGGATAGCATTAGAAATTCATCATTCTGCAATTCTTAATGAAATAATTGGTTCAGACAGTGATCATCAGTGGATGAAATCATTGGATTAAAGATTGATGAGGAAATTTACAATGAAGGGATGTAGGCTTTTACCCCTTTGAATGTTAAACCAATGTTGCTTTCCTAGGATAATTCTCACTTGATCATAATGTCTAATCTTCTATGACACTGGATTTGGTTTGCTACTATTTTGAGGATTTTTATGTCTATATTGAGGACATTGACCTAAATTTTTTATTTGTGTTATGCCTTTGGCTTTGGTATCAGAGTAATACTGGTTTCATAAAGTGAGTTGGGAAGTGTTGCTTCCTCCAGTATGTTCTGGAAGAATTTGTGAAGGATTGCTATTATATCTTTAAATGTTTGACAGGATTCACCAATGAAGCTATCTAGGCTTAGGCTTTTTTTCCAGGAAGATTTTTAATTACTAATTCAATTTCTTTACTTGTTATGGATCTATTCAGATTTTTTATTTCTTCTTGGGTCAGTTTTGGTAATTTGTATCTTTCTAAGAATTAAAAATTTTTTCATTTGGTCTATTTTTTGGTATAAAGCTATTCATGGTTTTCCCTTATCTTTTTAATTTCTGTAGAGTTAATGGTGATATCCTCTATTTCATTCCTGATTTGATGATATGTGTCTTTTCTTTTCCTTACTCTAGCTAAAGGTTTGGTCAATTTTGATGATCTTTTCAGACATTCAACTTATGATTTCATTGATTTCCTTAACTTTTTGTTGTGTATTTCATTGACTTGCCCTCTAATCTTTATTATTTGCTTTCTTCTCCTTACTTTGTGCTTACTTTGCTCTTCACTTTCTAGATTCTTAAGGTGGAAGATTTGGTTACTGATTTGAGATTATTTTTGTTTAACATAGGTATTTAAAGCTATATATTTCCCTCTTAGCACTGCTTTAAGTTGCATCCCATAAATTTTGATATATTTTGCTTTCATTGTAAATCAATTCAAATTTCCCTTGTAGTTTCTTCTTTGATCCATGAGTTATTTAGAAATGTGTTGTTTAATTTCCAAACATTCGTGGTTTCTCAAATTTCTTTCTGCTATTGATTTCTAATTTAATTCTGTTGTGGTTGGAGAACATACTTCGTGTTATTTCAATTCTTTTAAATTTATTGAGACATTTTGTGGCCTAGTATATGATCTATTCTGGAGAATGTTCCATGTATGCTTGAAAAGCATGAATATACCAACCAATCACTACAAGTGGGACAACTAGACATTATGCACCTTATGATCTAATGCAATATATTAGTCAAAATGGACAAGATTATGCTGCAATAACAAATATACCTAAATTTCAGTGATTACTTACCTAATCAGGGCCCAGGCTGATAGAAGAGCATCTCAACATGTCCTCCCATGATCACACTGGCAGAGGAAAAGGAAAAAGGCAAATCATATACTGGCTCTTAGAGCTCTTCCCAGGAACATATACGTTTTGCTTCCACTCATTTAATTAACCAAAACAAGTCACGTGATCACAGTTAATTTTAATGAGGCAAAGAAGTGCTATTCTACCATACACTGGGAAGGAGACCTGAACATTTTTGGTGAAAAGTGCTTATAATTGGCACACTACTATGAAATATTCCTGCCAAAATCTGCTGAACCCAAATCTAATCAAAATTTTAGAGTTATCTTCCAATTTATAAGAAAACTGTGCTATAGAGGAACAAGTTAAATGACACCATAAATAAGCAAAAAGACAAATCTAATTCTTTTCAGAAAACCTGTGATATGGAAAAAAAAAGGATTAAAAAGACCAAGAGGCTTAAAATTGAATGTAATATGTAGGCATTTTTTAGGTCCTGATTTCAACCAACTAAGAAGACATTTGAGACAACTATTGAAATCTGAATATGGAGTGAGTGTTAGATAACACCAAGGGATTAGTAATGTTAAGAATGATAATGCCATAGTAGTCTTAAGAAAATATCCATATTTTTACAAGATGCATTCATAGGCATGTAAAGATTCAGTTATGTCTGTGATTGTTTTATAATACTTTAAAATTCTTAAGCAGGGAAAAAATTGATAGATGAGGCAAATGGGGCAAAATCTAGATATTTATGGAATCTAAGTCGTATGTATATGCGAGTATATTAAAGTATGCTCTCTGCTTTTGTGTATATTTTAAATTTATTTAATAAAAATATTTTTAAAATTTAATCTGATCATGTCACTTCTTTGATTAAAACCTTTTATTGGCTTTGGTGGTTGAAGAGAAAGTCCAAATTCATCACAACGCTCTTCATATTCAGCATCTGTTTATCCTCCTCCTCCTCATCATCTTCTTCTTCGTGGTAACACTTTTATTGAACACTTACCACGTGTCCAGCACTAAGTTGAGCCCTTTGCCTGCTTTACTGTTTTTTGTTTTTGTTTTATGCGGTATGCGGGCCTCTCACTGTTGTGGCCTCTCCCATTGTGGAGCACAGGCTCCGGACGCGCAGGCTCAGCGGCCATGGCTCACGGGCCCAGCTGCTCCACGGCATGTGGGATCTTCCCGGCCCGGGGCACGAACCCGTGTCCCCTGCATCGGCAGGCGGACTCTCAACCACTGTGCCACCAGGGAAGCCCTGCTTTACTGTTTTTAATAACACAATAACCAGAGTTATTTTGTCATCCACTTTTTGCAGATGAGGAAACTAAAGTACGGAGAGGTTCAACAACTAGTCCAAAATCTCATAGCTAACAGGTTGGGAAACTGGGATTTGAACCCAGGCAGGCTGACTCCATCACCCATGCCATTAACCCCTTGATTTTATGCCCACCTGGTATTTCTCTCTCTTGTATGCCCACAATTAGTATGGTGCTTAGCACATGGTAGAGGCTTAAAATTTTTTTGTTAAATGGATGTTGTTAGCTAGGTTTCTGTCACTTTTTCAGTTTCCTTATCTTCTCATTAATTATCTTGTAAATAGTTATTTTCCTGTGGATATTGCATTGCTGTCAGATGACCCATAAGTACTTGCTGAAAAGGAGCATTACAAACATAGAGAGAAAATACCCCCCAAGTCCTTTCCTCAACATGGCCTTTACTTATGACCCTCTTGGGTTCTCTCAATGACTCTTGCTCTCAACATATTGCAATGTAATTCTTTGTTTATATATTTACCTCTTGTCTAGTCTATGAGTTCCGAGAGGCCAGGGACTCTATCTTACGTATCTCACCCCTCAGTGCCGAACACAGTAATTGGCATGCCCTGAGCTGTTAAGTTTATTGAGTGGATCAGTGCACAAGAGCTACTAAAGAACTCCTATATATCCTTCAAAGCCTAGCTCAGATGTTGTTTCTGTAAAAACTTCCTGCTGCCTCCCAAAGTTAATCTGCCCTCCTCTGTGCCATTATTTTACCCTCTGAACACATTTATAATTTCCTTCATATTGCGCTGTACTTTTTTTTTTTTTGGTCCACTTGTCTTCCCAACCAGACCATGAGCTTTGCAAATCTGGGACCATGCTTTATTCATCTCTGTCTTACTAACACCCAGCAACATTCTTTGGCACAGAGCAGGGGCTCATTTTTTGTTCAAATGCAAAACTATCAAAATTACCAAAATGTACAATTATTAATATAGTCATATATTGTCCTTAGCAGATATTACAAATAAAGGAATGTTTTACATTCTGTCTTAGAAAAAATTTCTGATGTGACTTAGGAAATGGGACGTGCTCCTTAGTAGAATAATACTATGGACACACTCCTTAGTAGAATAATACTATCACCACCATTTCAAGTCTTCTGTCACTTTCTGCTACTTGCCTTTGAAATATAAGCTAGTCATGGTCACTTTGTATTTATGTTGCTGCTTCTCTGCTAAAGTTGCAATATGTCACATGCCATTAATTTATTTGTTATTTTTCAAAAGATTCCCATGTGGGAAATTTGATGACCATAACTGGGGAGATAAGGTTGGAGAAAGAATAAAGCAAATGAATACGGCGCTGTGGAAAGACTGGCAGCCTGCTTTTCCCTCTGTAACTTTGGACAAGCCATTTCCCTCCTTTGGGCCTCAGGTTCCTCATCTGTAAAATCTGATTTCACCAGATGATCCCAGAGCCTCTCCTATGTTCTAGAATCTATGACATCTTTACCTCAAATAAGTCAAAGAAAAGGCAACAATAGACTTCTGCAGCAGTCTGGTCTCGTGCACTGGAGAGATATCTGTTTGACCAGGTGATCACCCCATTGGAAGAGGAAAAACAAACACAAAGCTGTTATCTGGCTAGCACAGGACCTGACTTTGCAGCTTATCTTCTTATCACAGGTAGGATGGGGAGTAACCTGGAGTGATGATTCACAGTCGTTCTGACCATGGGCAAAATCAAATACACCATGGAATAAACAGAAATACAGGGCCTGTCTAGGAAGAATGAGAGAGAGTACAATAGGTCCAACTTAACACTGGACCTTCCCACCCCTACCCCTGCTGCAACCACATGTTGGCCCAGTCTTCAAGGTCAGCAAACTTCTGCCTGTTGTCCATGGCAGACACTGCTAATTGATTACAGTACTATTTTCTTCTAAAGCCAGACTGGGAATCTTTCACAACACAGTGCTGCTGCAAACGCGAACAACTGTTTGGAGTTGGAATGTCAGCCGAGATCTATTTGCCATCCTGGGCTCAAATTTCCTCCTTATTCCGGCAAAGAAAAGTACTACAAAGAGGGTTGTAATTTTAACTAAATAAGGGACCTTGGGCAAGTTCCTTACTTTGCCTCTGATTTGTAAATGGAGAATTCCCTAGTCCCCTCCATTCAAGCATTCTGTGTTTTGGGGATTCTAGAAGTTCTCATCTCTTTTGGAAAATAGGAGCATTTATATGACACTGCTATCCCAAAGCTCAGCTTCTCCATGACATGGTAGCATTTAGGCAACCTGGACTGTATCTGGACACATCCAACATGACAAGTGTTAGGTGTCCACACAACTGCAGGGGCCATGAAGTATTGTTTATTAACCCTCCCCAATTCCCAGACAAGTTCTCTGGAGTCATAACAATCAGATTAAACTCAAGTGAAGCTTGACTGACAGAGTCAAAGAAAACCCACAGGGCTGTCACCTGTTAAGCAGTCAAGGCTAGCATCTTCCTTGGCAAGAAAGTACATTTTCTTGTCTGGTTTCAGCCTTAAATTGCTTGTATTTGTCCTGGAGACTAGATCAATAATCTCAATCTCTCTCTCTCTCTCCCTGCTTGTAGATCTGAAATAATTTTATACGAAGAAAAGTAAGGCAAATGGCAGAGCAGCAGAGGTAGAAAAGTCAGTATGTAAGAATGCTAATAGGAAGAATAATACATAATATTTATTGTGTGCTTTTTGTGTGTCAAGCACTGCATTATCACATTTAATCTTGATAACCTAACAGATATGTACCATCATGTATCTCCATTTTACAGAGGAGGAAATTTAGGCACAGGGTGTTAATGAATTTTTCTAGGGTGCTATAGTGTTTTTGTTACAGAGGGAAATGTGAGTCAGGTCTCTCTGACTTCTTCCATCACACCACACTGACTCTCCCAATTCAACACTGAAGAACTTTCTCAAACCACCTCAGGTGCATTAGTCAAGTCTCATTCAGTGTAAATAACAGAATACTCAGTATCAGGAAACTGTTCTTCTTCATCTGTTGGCTCTGCTTTCACTCTATTCTTAGGCAATCTGTCCCTTCAAGGTGGCAAGATAGCTACCATCAGCACCAGACCTAGATCCTATGCCTTCAGCAACCCCAAGAGGAGAAATGATTCTCTCTCTCCTTGGTCCTAGTAAAGACCTAGGATTGTGTCTTTTTGGCCCGGCTTCCAGAGTCCCTACCTCTGAAGCATCACTATGGCCAAGTGAAAAGAAATGACTTGATTGTCCAGACCTGCGTCAACTGCGCATCCCTGGAGGTAATGGGAGAAACACGTCTCCAAATTGCAGGGGCTAAAAATTCGGAGGGGATATTCTCCTAAGCAAACTTCAGGTATGGTGTCTTGAAGAAAAGTGGATGGGTATCACCAAGCAGGCAAAAACATTAGATGTCCACTCACTAAACTTGTATCTATGCACCACCACAATATTCCCAAAGAATTGGCCTTGTGGTCATGCTGTATATAGCAGTTAGAAGCTTTGTTCTGGTCAAATTCTAGAAGTTTAGAATTTCTCCTGGTACCGGAACTTGGGCCCAGGTGTAGTGTATTAATACTGTCATCCTGGGCAGCCTCTCCATTGTTCCTCCTTTTGCACCTCCAGCCAACGCTTCATAAACCCCCACATGCAGAAACAAGGGCAAGTTTCTCTCCTCATTCTGGAAGAGGTTGCACTTTTGCCCTAAGAAAGTTTTAAGTACTGCCTTGTCACTACACTGGGTGGTAGGAGGGACT